TCCTTGTCTGGCCTTCGGGTGCTTTAGAAAATAGCTTGACTCCCTCCGCCCTGTGGCAGCCCCTCAGATATTGGAAGACCGCTATCATGTCTCCCCTGGTCCTTCTCTTTACTAAATTAGCCAAGCCCAGTTCCTGTAACTGTTCTTCATATGTTTTAGTCTCCAGTCCCCTAATCATCCTGGTTGCTCTTCTCTGTACTCTTTCTGGAGTCTCAACATCTTTTTTGTAATGTGGTGAAGAAAACCGGATGCAGTACTCTAAGCTTTATAGAGTGGTATTAGTACCTCCCCTGATCTTGATTGTATCCCTCTGTTAAAGAATTGTTAAGCCATTACAGAATAGTTTCTTTAACAGCAGACATTCAGTATTGATACCATCTTATTGAAGATAAGTAATCCATCAGGCCTGATGAGATCTGAAGTCCTCCAAGTTATAGTCATTACATACCATAGATCAGGGGTTGCCAACCTTTTGGACCTCAGGAACCATCAAACTCATAATTTTAAATCCCGCGGACCACTAGTATGAATTTTGACTGATGGTGGCTTCAGGAAAAAAGTCTTTAGGAAAATTCCCCACCCTATTTTCCTACCAATCGATTATTCTTCATGTAGGATTGCAGGATACCGTCTCCAGCTCCGTTCTCAGAGGGAGAGGGAGAGAGACTTTTGGCTTCATGCAAGGAAAGCAGCAGAAGCAGCAGAAGTCTTTCTTTCTCTCCCCCAAACTCCACCAGAAATGAGTCTTTGCCAGTGCAGTCTCTTGGAGCAGGATACCTTGTAGAGACTCATTTCTGGTGGAATTTGGGGGAGAGAAAGAAGGACTTTTGCTGCTTTCCTTGTGTGCAGGCAAAAGCAGAAGAAAGAAGTAGAAAGAAACATCCCACTGGCCAGGCCAGGCGTGTGGGGCAAGTTCCCCCCCTGCTCTTTCCCCTCTTCCCTCACTACCTCATGTTGTTCGCAATGCAAGCGATGCAAGCCTTGTGTTCCCGTGGGCCATGTGGGCAGTGCAGCCTTGTGTTCCCGCGCAGCCTGGATTAATTGCTTTGGGGGTTACTTTTCTCTGTGGACCACCAAAATTTTCTCGCAGACCACCAGTGGTCCCCAGCCCAATGGTTGGCGACCACTGCCATAGATGATATCAGAAGCAAGGTTAGTCATATGATTCCCCCTACCTAAATATAGTTCTTATTAAGAGAGATTTACTGAATGTTATCAGCCAGGACAAATTCTTTGTAGATATGGAATAATTTGGTGGTACTTTGGTAATCTGAGGTTGATGTTATTCAGGAAATGTTCAAACCAGAGACTTGAGAAGAATGTTGGTTTTCCCTAGTGAGGAACAGGCTTGTTTATTTATTCCCCACCTTTGCTATATATAGTGATGGCAGGAATAGCCAGGAGAGGAAAGTATCCAGTTATAAATAATAAACTGAATGGCTGTTCTGTGTTCCTGCTCAGAAATAAAAGGTGTGCCTGGGTGGAAAATGTTGCATCAAAAGTAAGCTGGTGGCACCACGAAACCAGTAACAAATATGCTAAACCTTCCTCTGAATTGACAAGCACACGAACAAGCTGATACTGGATTATTTTCTAACATCTATTCTACACGAAATAAAAAACACTCTCCAACACATTTTATTTTGATACTCCAATCTACATATAGCAGCAAGCAGAATGTAGTTATCTGAAACACAAGAAGGCAATGCAGGCACTTCCTCTGGAGCCCACTAGCTTCCTGCTCACCCACAGCGGAAGTGTCAAGCTACAAACTTAAATCTAGTATCGTTTTTGTGGATCAGAATGCCCCTGGGTTCCTGATAGACCTCCTATTTATATTTAGAAAATAAAAATGATAAACGCAGCCCAGTGTTTGTCTGCACAAACCCCATAATAATATAAATACCAGTAACTGCTGAAGGGTTGATACGTATATGGGTATCTGCCTGATCTTAAGAATCCAAAACCACTTTCCAGAATCCCTGCAGAAGAGGAAAGTTTTCAAATAAAGGATAAATGAATGGACGGGAGTGGGGCAGACTAATAACCCCAGAGGGGGTTGCCACTGTGAATGTCATTTTCTGAGTTCTCAACGACTCTGATCTCTCTACAGGTAGGAACGCATAGCATCCTCTTTAGATCAAATTCTATTTGGAAGGAGACCATCCTGAAGGTAGCAAGGTGCCAAATTTCAAGGGGTGACCTCTAAAATTATTGGCGATTTAGAAACATATTGCATGAAAAAATGTCTTCTCATATATAGCCTCTTGCCATCAACTGAAATATTCAAAGGTCCTTTTTGCTTCTGTGAGCTGTCAAAAATGTTGAGGGCGCAGATAGTTGTGATATAATCATTTCAAAGAAACAAGCCAAAATTGTCTGAGTTGAGGGCATTATAAAGCAGCATGGTGGATCATACATGCTGTAGAGAACACCAATTAGAGAAGATGATATAAAGCGACATAAGAGTTAAAAAGAACACACACAAGTGGCAACATTAGACTCCAGTCACTTTAAACAGAGAGCAATATTAGTTTGCCTCAGACTAAAAATAATGGCTTTCTCATTTTCTGGTATACACCCATCGTCCTCTATTCAAATGAATGAAGGGACTTCATATCCCATTGTCCAAAGAACAGCATAGACTAGAGCATGGAGAAAATATTGGAGATCTTATGAGATATGCTGCTTTTATACTATTATTTGAGGTTGAAAAACAAGTTTGAAATCAAAATCATGATCTACTACAATACCAGTACAATATTTTACTGTTAACTTGCCAGGTCCAAGCCTGAGACAAGGCAGCGAAATCCGATTGAATCCAATCCTTTAATTACACCTAATGGAAGGAATCTTACCAAACTAAAGCTATAATCTTCTAACCTACTAGATATACCAAGAGATTCTAGGGTGTTGCTACCTTAAGCCTGTTCCCACTCCCTCATCTAGCTTGGGACTGTAGGGTCTCTGGGAAAGCTCTGTATGGCTAACCTCTTCCCACCTGCAGGTGCACATTCCAGTATATAACATGTCTTTAGTTATAGACTATTGTATGTTAACATACAATATTATGTCACGTAGAATATTTTTTATATATTAACATACAATTTAAACAATAATTTGAAGTACAGATAGTCCTTAACTTACGACTATTTATTTAGCAACAGTTTGAAAATTACATCAGCACTAACAAAAGTGACTTGTGACCATTTCTAATGTTTGTTTTTAACTTGTTATGTTTTAGCTATATGCAACTGTGAGAGCTACCCTATGGCAAGATGGGGCAGCCAGTACATTTTATAAATAAATACATTTTTCACACTTACAACTGTTGCAGCATCTCCATGGTCATGTGATCAAAATTTGGACTCTTGGCAAGTGGCCAGAGTTTATGATGGTTGCAGTGTCCCAGGGTCATGTGATCAACTTTTGCAACCTTCTGACAAAGTCCAATGGGGAAGCCAAATTCACTTAACAATTGCAGTGATTCATTTAACAACTGTAACAAGAAAGGTTGTAAAGGACAAAATTCATTTAACTGTCTTGCTTTTGGGCTCAATTGGTCATAAGTCAAGGATGACCTGTAATGCATGTTCCATGAAGACAAAAAACATTGGTTATAATGAATATGTATTCTCTGGCTGCATTTTATTTATGCAATGGTAACACCAAATGTTACCATGTCATATTTCATATTTTGAAATGTCATATTTCATATTTTTTTCATGTCCAGATGAAATTGTGTTCATGTATAAAGGAGAGATTTCTTTTCAAAAAGCCATGTCACCATAGTTATTAACTGAGAAATGCTTTTGAAATGCTGAATTATTTAAGCAGTGGCATATAATTTACTTTTTCAAGTAGTACTAATCAATAAGGCTACTGAAACACTAAACATACTCTAGACACAAAGAAGCACTGTGATGATTTCGTTTTTATTGCTCCCATGAGTATTTATTGCATTTAAAAAGAGAGGCCTACCTATTTTAAACTCCAGAATACCTTGATAATCCCTTTAAAGGCCTCTGATGGCCAAAATATATACTGTTAGTCACATCATACGTCATCCATGGCCTCCAAAGAGAAACTGAGTGTTTATTTGCTCCACCTCAAACCACAACCTTAGAAAGCCGCTAAACCAAAAACCTTATGTGACAACTCTTAAAATGGAATTTTAAATCTATTCTTTTTTTTCCTGGAGCTGTATCTCTTGCCGTTTATTACCTAAAGCAGAAATAGCTTTTTAAAAATAAATGAAATGAAAGCAAACCGGGCTGCCTTTACTGCAACTAAATGTCTACTCACTCCTTTCCTAAGAGGTCTGTAGGGGGCGTGCATAAGCGCATCAACGTGCCTAACAACCCTGTCCTATTGTTTCTTTTATTTTTCTTATATGTATCCATGTATTCATAACTATGTTTATACTTATACCTAATATCTTGTAAGAAATTGACAAATCAAATCAAATCAAATAAATATTTATAAATATGAGATTATATCCAAAATTCTCAAACATGCCCAACTCTCTCGTTAAAACCATCCCATTCGCTGCTCTACAATGAAGCCTCGTTAACTTTAGGAAACACGCATCGAAGACAAACAGCTGAGTATACCTTACATTCCCTCCATCTTAAAACGGGGAAGGTAGGCCTAATTTTTGGGAGTTGTCACTGCAACGGGGCCGCGGAGCTTCAGGTGGGGAAGATGGTTCGAGTCATTTTTTTGGGGTGGGTGGGGTGGGGGCAGCAGATCTCCTTAACCGGAAGCCTTATTGCTCCATCAGGGCTGCTTCCCACATCAGAAGGGCAGTCTAAACGCATTTTTTTCTCCCCACGGCGATCCTTCTGCAATTTGATGGGGGGGGGGGGGGGGGAGGTTTCCCGGGTTTTCTCCTCCCCCCCTCTTGGCCTGGGGGGGGACGGGGACAAAGCTATTCCCGGGGGCCACGCCACTCATCCTCCGAGACACGGGCTTCCCACGCCGGCCGACGCGCTTCTTACCCCACGATGGAAAACACCGCGGCAGCCACCACGAGGTAATTGGTCTGGTAATAGAGCAGGTTGCTGACCACCCGGTTGTTCCATTTGGAGATATCTTTGAAATCCGGCAGGGCGAAGCGGTCGTGGCCCGGGATGAAGTCGTCCCATGATCTCAGCGGCGCGACTTGCACGTCCATCGTGATTCTCCCATCCGGCTTTCTGCGGCAGGAGCGGCGCTACTAAAGGCAGCAGAGCAAGACGTCAGCAAAACCGAGTTAAGAGCGACTGGCTGGCTGAGCTCATACAGCCTTGCGTTTATGGTTGGCTTGCCTGCAAAATTGGCAAACACGCACACATAACACGCGGAGTGAGAGAGAGAGAGAGAGAGTTGGTATAAGGATATTTTTTAAAACTCCTTCCTTCCTGATGTTTTTCGAAGATACCTAGGAACATTGTTTTTTTCCCCCTAAAGCTACCTCCAATATATTTTTCTCTCTCCTTCAAAACATTCTGTGAAATACCTCCGATTGGAGATTTTACTGTAAGGCAGAATAATTTAGTTGGCTTTAGTGTTTCAGGATGTGATATAAGCACTTGCATGAAAAGTGGGGTCAGAATTCAGTTCAAGAAGACTGCATATATGATCTTGAAAGCATGAAGAAACAAATAGATGAAATTTATTTAAGGTCTGAAATGAACTAAGCATACTTTTAAAAAGTATTATGCTTGTGTGATGAACGTAATTATAATATACAGGAAGAGTATTTCATACATATCCACCATGCTATTTTCTGTTAGGGTAAACAAAAGTTACAATGTATCAAAAAAACCGGTAATTAGCAAAAGTGATTGAAGTCAGATTTAGGAAAAGAAAATCTAAAGTAGCGGTTAAAGGTGCTGACCTCAAGATGAGATGAGTTCTAATTCCACTTTAAGCATAAAAAACCAGCTGGGTGACTTTGGGTCAATCCCTCTCAGCCCAATGCACCTGTTGAGGTGAAAATAGGAGGAGTTTTGGGTACTTTGCTCCCTTGAGTTATGTATGAATAATAAAGGCACAATAAAAAAATCTAGTTTATACTGTGTGCCCTAGAGCTCTCCTTTATTTCATCCTTGCACATTGTTCTTATTTTTCAAGGGAAAGATTTATAGGCAGCAGGTGTAAGTTTATTCACATGTAAAGAATGCTTGGAGCTGTTGTACAATTTTTCCCTCAGCCCCCAGCTCAACTGGAATAAAGTGTCATTTGTCAATCTCTAAGCCAATGAAAAGTTGTCCCTAATAATGACATAACCACTCACCAGCTGGATGATGATAGAGTGGATAAAGTCAATGTTTTTTAAAAAAAAATTAGGCCAAAATCCTCCTGGAAACTATTTGGGCAAACATTGTTCTCATTATTTATGCATTTATTGAATTTATATTGCAGCCTATTCGCCCATGGCAACTTGAAGCGGCTTACAGAATATAAAACCACATTTAAAACAATAAAAACTATCAAAAAGAATCAAATAAATTAATAAATTACAATATAACAAAATCACCCCTCAACTCCCACCAGATGTATCTCCCTCAGGGATGGGACCCACAATATTCCCTGCCTCTCTGCTCTGATGGGTTGGATAGATGTGACCAGCAGGAGACGGTCCCTCAGATAACCTGGTGACTAGGGTGTGAGTGGCTGTGAGTAGGGACCGTTGGTCCAGGAAAGGGCATAACTGGTGCACAACCCGCAGTTGTGCAAAGGCCCTCCTGGCCATGACCGCCACCTGCTCTTTGAGCAGGAGTCATGAGTCCAGGAAAATCCCTAGATTACCCACAGGGTCTGTTTGGGGTAGTGCCACCGCATCCAAGACCAAAGGTGGCAATTCTCCTTGAGCCAACGAACCCCAAACACAGAGCCACTCAGTCTTACAAGGGTTTAGTTTCAACCCATTTCTCCCCATCCAGCCCCTAACAGCCTCCAGGCATTGCGAGAGGGAGGACACGGCAACACTTAACTCACCACTGGCTGAGACATACAGCTGAGTATCAGCAGCATATTGGTGATACCTTAGTCCATCGTGACGGATGAGCTCACCCAGCAGCTTCATATAAATGTTGAACAGGAGCAGAGAGTACCGAGTCCTGCGGAACCCCACAAAGCAGTGGATCCCTGCAATGGATCCCCTGCGGAACCCCGCAAAGCTGGATCTCTCCCCTCGTATCAACACTGACTGAGAGCAGCCTCAGAGGAAGGAAGTGAACCAGGTCAGCAAAGACAAGTGACTTGATCGTAACAGTATATAGTATTGTTGGAAGAAATATCCTTCTGGGTTCAGTTCCAAGTGGGGAAGAAAAACACTGGAAACATGGTGACTGCTTGGAAAGATGGTTTATTGATGAACAGGATGCGTTCCTGGGCAGAAAAGGGAAGAGATGCTGAGAGTGCCTGGGTTTTATGCCCTCTGTTCGGCTTTGAATTTGAACTAATGTTCTGATTGGTTGTCAGACTCCCATGGGGCCATGCAGGGGTAACTTTGTAGGTTGTCTTTTGAGTCCCAGACTTGGTTGACCCTTGCTGGGTGATGATGTAATGAAAAGACTTTGGGCAATTCCTATTATGGCTCTGCCTGAAGGAAGTACCGTGTTTCTCCAACAATACAGCCTTCCCCAATAGGAAGTCCCAGCATGTTTTATAGGCATAAAATAAAATTAAGCCCCTCCCCACAAATTAAGGCCTATATTAAACATGTGAAATGGGGAGGAATGGCGGGAGGGGGGCTTGCCATTAGGAAGTACTTTTGTTGCATACCCAGATATGTTGCTGCCTGCATTGACTTTGCGTTGGTGGGGCACTTCGTATCGGGAGACCTTCCACCACCGTTGCTTTCCCTTCTCCCCGTGCTGCTGCAGCATTTAGAGCAATGCCACGGCATTTGGCGCAGCCACGCACAGCCAGCCAGGGCTCCTCCCTGCAACCAGAGCCCAGCGGAGACACTCCGCTTCAGGCGCTGTCGCCGCCTTCCCCTCGCCTTCGAAGGCAAAGCCAATTCTTTTAAAAACAATGCCCTACTACCAGTACGACAAAGCCTCCCCTGCCCGAGAGGGCAGCCCATCCCCACGTGGGGAGGTGAATCTCCCGGGGCCGCAGCGCAGGATCGGCCCACCCCGGGAGAAGTGCTCACCCACCACCCCTGCCTTGCACCAGGCAAAGCGTGAAGAGCTTTGCCTGGGGCGCCCAGCGCAGCTGACAGGTGGGCCCTCCTACCCGGCGGCAGAGTTCCCACCAAGGCAGCGAGCGCCTCCCTGCCAGGCCCTCTGCTCACCCCGCCAGGGCCACACCAGAGCCGTGTGGGCTGGGCAGAGCCGGGAAAATGAGCCGCGGGTGCGCACCCACCTGCCAAGCGAAAGAGCCGGGCCAAGCCGAGCTTGGCTTCCTTCCCAAGTCCCTCCAGCCTAAACCTGAAAGGGCCACTGGGAGAGGCTGCCTGAGGCAGTGATAGCATCACCCGTCCACAGACAGGGAGGCAAGGCGACGGAAGTGCTGCTTCCCTGGCCGGCGGGTCTGGTGGAGAGAGCCCAAAGCCGCCCATTCTTTCCACTCCTCGCCCATCCCATCCCCTTGCATCTCCAAATGCGCCGGCAGCTCCAAACACTGCAGCGGCACAGGCATCGGCACTCACTCGGCGGGGCTCAGCTCGGAGGAGGACATGGCGCAGGCATCGCATTGCCTCCCTGTCCATGGATGGGTGGGTGTTATCACTGCCTCAGTGCCTCTCCCAGTGGCCCCTTCGGGTTTGGGCTGGAGGGATTTGGGAAGGAAACCAAGCTCGGGTTGGCCCGGCTCTTTCTCTTGGCAGGTGGGCGCGCACCCGTGGCTCACTTTCCTGGCTCTGCCCAGCCCACGTGGCTCTGATGCGGCCCTGGCAGGATGAGCGGAGGGCCTGGTGGGAAGACATCGGGCAGAAATGGCACCTGGGCGCTTCTCCTGGGGTGGGCCGATCCTACGCTGCAGCCCTGGGAGATTCACCTCCCCACCTGGGGTTGGGCTGCCCTCTTGGGCAGAGGAGGCTTTGTCATACCGGTAGTAGGGCGTTGTTTTTAAAAGACCCTAACCCTAGCCCTGACCCTTACCCCTCTTTTCTACTAGCAGATGCCTTGCACAGGCGCTAAATCATGGGAAGGTATGTCATGCCCGGTCATGCCACGAAGAAGTCCTAACCCCTTTTCTATAGCAGATTCAAACATGCATACCCGGCGCCACATTCCTGCCTGCTTGTCTCTTGTAGGCATTTTTTTTTTAACCTCTGTTAATATTCCTTGTCTTTTGCTGTAGGGGTAGAATAAAATTTATTAAGCTTACATGTATATGTGGATTTGAGGGCGGGTTGCAATTGCCAAAATATATGTCTTTAGATTTTTACAAAGGTAAAAACCAGCTGTGGGTTTTAAAAGATCTGTGGGCTTTCCCCCCTACATTCGAGGGGGGTTTAAATGCAGACCCTGGCTGCATTTAGGTGCTCCTCCCCACCACCCCCAGCTTTTAGGTATTGATTTTTAAAACTCCACAAAAATTAAAAGCATCATTAGGCTAGAATGATTAGAAATAAAAAGCCTTTTTAAAAAATTATTACAGCTCCCCCCAAAGCAGGGTTTTGTTTCCCAAAAAGACAGATCTCTGTGTTTCTTTTGGTTTTGAATGTCCATAGAATTAGTCTAGGGTTAATGTAATCAAGTACCCCAGAAGCTTGACTGACGCATGTTTCTTGGTGGGATTAGGTTCAGCAAGACCCCCTGAAAATAGGGGCCTTGCATCATGCCTTATCTGTTAGGGTTAACCATGCCTATTTTGATGGGCTTAGGGCAGTATGTCATATCCGGCTAGGGTTATGACCTTATGAGACCATGGGGGTAGATTATGCACATCACATCCGGGGAGGAGAGCTGTGCACGTCACTTCCGTTTATGGGCATGTTCTGGTGACATAATCAGCACGTGGTTTTGTTTACTTTGATGACATCATTGATCAAAACTACTGATAATTTTCTTTAAAAAACGGTATATGTACATTCTACTGTGGTATTCCATAGATCTTTCTCAGATAAGAATGAGGAGGCATATGGCATAACTTTCTTGCTCTGAACACTGATCTCACAGTCCTTCTCAAGCCTTTAACAATCTCGCAATTGTTTTACTAGACATTTTGGAAAAGTGCACAGTTGGAGAAACAATTATTCCTTTGAAATGGTTATGTCAGTTTAAAAAAGATAAAA